ACAAAACAGTGTGTCAAAAATTTTGAACTGAATTTGTGTACTAAAGACTCATAAAGAGGCATATTTTGTAGACGTTTTTTATGGCCGAAAATAATTGTCAAAAAATTTAGTTTGACAACTAAAAGATGAAGAATTTATTTTACTTGAGTGCTGTGTTTCAATCATGCAGCAAAGTTATATAACATCTAAAAACCACGTTTTATTCAATCTACAGTATAAGCGCTGCGCGGCAGATGTTTTTGGGGCTTCCAGTACTTTTAATGTTGTGGAAAAATGGTAAATGCTTATTTTCGAACTAAACATCATTCGCACAAAGTTCTCAATCTTTTAGTATCAAAACGAAGTTTTTTGATCAAGTTTAACTTGCAAATTATGTTGGAAAAACCGGCAATTTAATCTGAACCATCCTTTAGTGCTTATAATAGGAACGTGTTCATTTTTGAAGGCAATATCTTTAAGAGTAAAGAGTTGATAAATAACTAAAAAGAGTATAAAGAGAAGCTCAAGTGTAATAACTTTTCTTATTCCAGTACATTTGTTTACTCTTATCCTTCTGAAAAATTGATAATAAGTTCTAAACTCCATTTGGTCAAAAGTATTTCTTCGTAAACACTCAACAACTTATTAAGAATACATTACTGAAATATGCGTCCGATAAATGAAACGATTAGCTAGACGAACGCTACAAGTTTTTTTTATATTTTTTGATTTCTTTGAATATTAGTCGACGGTTATCAGGTTACACTTATACAATGTGTAACTAGTAAAAAGGATATTTATATAGAAATGGCGCGTCTTAAATGTACTCCCTAGGGGAAATTTTTTTTTCTATTAAACTTTTTATTCAGCATTTTGTCGAATACTTTTTCAACAGAAACATATCCTAAAGAATGCAACTGCTTACTCTATATTATTTACTAAATTAAAAATATTTCAACTAGGAAGATCACGCACCTGAAGCATTCGCTTGGATAAAAAAAAACGGATCGATTTGTGAGATTTTTGAAAGAACAAGCAACTGTATTAGGTATGTATATCATTCGTCGACTAATTTTTGTCGACTACCACTTTTGTCAACACCAATTCGTCGACAATTTTTTGGCGACACTTAATTTGTCGACAAGTGATTTTGCCCCTCCGCGTTGTTTTTTGTACGTATTTTCAGATCTGATACGTTCCAGCAATCGATTGACATAGTTTCCATCCAAAAATTTCCGAAATAATCGAACAGATCATCAAGTGATTGGGAATGACTGTCGTCAAGATATTTGAAGGCAAGCTTGACTCATTCTCGAGGCAAAAGAGCGAGCGTCATCAATTGCTGGCAGATAGAGCGGATCTCTTCATCTTCCTTGTAATTGACCGACAGTCCCAGACTCTGGATTTTCCGATGAATACTCTGCGTGTAGTGGAAGAGGGTGAGGGGTGAGGGTGAGGGTATGCATACGGACGATACAAAACAATAGAAACACTAACACTGGAAAGAAGATACAAGGAGATTACGTAATACATGGACCAAATACTTGTCGACAAAAAGACTCGTCGACGAAATGAGTTGTCTACAAAATATCTGTCGACTATGTGCCTGTCGACAAACTATCTGTTCGACGAATAATATGTAATTCCTGTATTAGAGTCAAGCTCGGATTCGAATCGTCATGTATGCTGTTGTCTTTACGATAAGGAATGCAGTTAGAAATCAAGGTTATTTGTCGATTACTATTAATTAGTTCTCGTAATTTTCTCGCAAATTCTTGTAAAGGATCCAACCGGATAAGATTTCAAATCATTTCACAATCATTTACATTAAAATTTTCTGTTAAATTATTTAATAATCATAGTCCAATTTCATCTTTTTATTGGCGATATTTAAGTAATTATCGGTAGCAGTTTTACGTATAAGATCATGATACAGGCTTCATAATAGCAAAAATCAAAAAGTAGGAGTAGGATTTTGAAGTCCGTTATGGTAGAATTTATACCAAAAAGTAGGTAATGTAGCTTTTAGCTTTTAAGAGAAGTTCTGCCACAGCACCGATCATGCAGTTCAGGAGAAAATTTTATTTTATTTTTATTTATGTCTTATTCGAAGAAAAAAACGTGAATTTTCATAAACTTTTTGTATTTTCCGATTTTCTGAAAAACTATCAAACGCCTAGGATTCATTTATAGTAAGTAAATCTTACTTCATTTTGTAGAGCATGCAATTCTGTATCGATTTATATGTAATAGAACATTTTAAAACACTAGCATGATGTATTATAAATTAAATATTGGAGACAGAATTAGGTTTCATCATTTTCTTACTTTTCTAAATTTTGATACAAACCTCAAAGATTTGGACATACAAACTATTTTTCAGTCATCACAGACGTAGAGCAAACATTTTTCTACCAAATGAGACGTTGGCGAGCTCTGTGCAATGTTTTTTTATGAGTTTACACGCACTTTACGACAGGTACTATATTTGAGACCCATCTCCTACTGATTTTCTCCTCGGTTGTGATCCGCTGACCAAATGCAATAATTCACATATGGTTGAATAGAGCATTGAAAGTTACATCAGGTGGCATGTTTTTTTATCTTCATCAGCTCATATTAGGGGTGAAAAAGAATATTTAATTTTGTGAAAATGGCTGAATGGGTGTTATGTATGGGAAAAGACATTTTTCTCCCACTTTTCAAAAGTGAACCTTTTTTAGTTTTACGTTTAAAAACTGCATATGACTCAATGCTAACTACTCATGTCAAAACTTGGTTTAAATTTTTTTCTCCTAACCGTTTAAAATAGATCTTTCTAAAAACAAAGTTAGACAAGCTCGTGAACGGTAACCTGAGTGAATTTATATATGACTTTTAGACGGTTAAGAGAAAAGAATGTATAGCATATTTTGACATGAGTAGCTAGCATTAGTCATGTGCAGTTTTTAAACGCAAAAATAAACAAGGTTCACTTGTGAAAAGTGGGAGAAAAATGTCTTTTTGCCTGTGAATTTACTAAAAACACAGAAAATTAAAAAAGTAGGAAAAGTAGGAGACAATCCAGAAAGGAGAACATAGTAGGACGGTTTTACAGAAAAGTAAAGTAGAACGTTTACGAAGCCTGTGACATGATGAATGAGCAGAACATGTAAAAATATCAGTGTTGGTTGAAATTGGTAATGAATCACTATAAACTTGTATTATAGCAGAATCAAGATCAAAAGAAGAAGTACTTAACTGAGAAGCTAGAACATCTGTACCTGATAATGAAAGAAAAGTTGCAGAGCTAATTTCATCTAAAAAACGACAGGAAGTATGTAACTTATGTGATGTACTCAACGCTCTTCTTTCTTTCTATTTAAATCATACGTATATCAGTTTTTTCTGTTCTTGTTGCATATTGTGTACTTCGATACATTGTTCAAAAAAGAATTGATTCTCAAATGTCACATTATTATTAATAAAAGTAAGCAACCTCAAACTACCAAAAATTTATTAAAATAAAAACTTTCATCTCATCTTTTCATCACACCAGCAAGTGGAATTTGGGCATGGATCCTTTATAACTATGGTGGTTCACAGAATAATCAGGAAGGGTATACCAGTCATTTAAAACTATGGAAAAAAAAAGCTAAAAATCATACATTTTCTGAGTTTAATCCGCGATTTTGACAACTATTTTCTGGTTATCCTGTGAATCATCATGGTTACCGAGGCCTCATGCCCAAATTTCACTCGATGGTGTGATGAAAAGATGAGATGAAAGAAGTATATTTTAATAAATTTTTGGTAGTTTGAGGTTGCTTACTTTTATTAATAATAATGTGACACTTGAAAATCAATTCTTTTTTGAACAGTGTATCGAAGTACACAATATGCAACAAGAACAGAAAAAACTGATATACGTATGATTTAAATAGAAAGAAAGAAACACGTCGAGTACAGCACATAAATTATACTTCCTTCATTCACGGCGCCCACCGCCACCGTTACACTGTAAGGTTGAGAATTATTTATGGAAAATGCTCAGCGAGTTGTAAACAGTACCCATATCATCAAATCGAAAAATTTTAAAAGCTTATTGTTCGGTCAAAACCGATCGAAAGATTGTAGATTCATCTTCTCCATAGTCGATTATCTGGTACGTGATAACTTTTGGATCGGGGTACTTCAGGAAAAAATTTGCTCATGATCTTGCTCAAAAATTTTCGAAAAAGTCACTGCATGGGAGGATCAGAGGCAAAACGACGTCAAAAAATTTTTCTGGAGTACCTCGATCCAAAAGTTATCACGTATCAGATAATCGACTATGGAGAAGACGAATCTGCAATCGGTTTTGACTGAAAAAGCTTTTAAAATTTTTCGATTTGGTGATATGCTAGAGGATTTTTCAGTTTATAGAAAATCGAATTTCCAACAATCTAGAAAGTCGTCATTGAATTTCCATAAATAATTACCAAGAAAATAGAAATTCCTTTTTAATTTTCTATAAACTGGAAATTCCTTGGTAATTCAGCATCGAATGGCGACGCGACCAGGTTGTATTGTGGTTGACCCCGCATCCTCATGGTTTTGAGAAATTTCTGGTAAACATGTCCGATTTTTTGGGACCTTCCTACCGAAACTTCGCGTCACCGCTGTCTCGGCCTAAATCAAAATTCTTGCTAGGATAGGCAGAATTGTGATTTAAAGTAGAAATTGTCAAAGTTGATTTAAGTGTAATATAACTCTTTACGTGACGCCCTTATACCCACACTGCTTGCAAAACAAAAAGATGAATAAGTATTTGGTCTAGAAATTTTCAGTTTGTAGAAAATCGCCGCGAATTTCCCAGTTTATAGAAAATCCTCAGCGATTCTCCACCTTTATAGAAAATCGAATTTATGAAAATCCAAGGCTATTTTCTATAGAAGTAGAAACTCAACATTTCCTAGAAAGCTGGAAATTCGGGAGAAATATCTATAAACTAGAATTCCCGGCGATTTTCTATAAACTGGAAATTAATTCAAGATTACAATTTATTTGTTTAATTTTTTTGATACTTGTTCGATGTTTTCCATGACAACACATAAATCTGGATCATCACCGGATAATAATTCACGTGATCGATAATAGTTCCTTAAAGCATCATTATAGTTTTTTAGTTCATCATATGCTAATCCTATACGATTATAAGTTTTAGCCATACTGTGATTACGAATCTTTGGTGGTAATCTTTTTTCTTGTATTGATAATGCATAGTTATACATTTTTAATGCTTCATTAGCTCGAAATGTTCTCACTAATAAATCACCAAGTGTATTGCAAATCACAGCTAATTTTGGATGTGTTGGTGGTAAATACGCAGTATATAGTCGAAATGCTTCGGTATAATTTTTATTGGCTAATAATATATTATTCATATGATAATGAACTGAGCCAATATTTTCATAAAGTTGTGCCATAATACTAGGATGCGTTGATGATGATTTTGAATATAATTTAAATGCGGATCGTAAATATTTCGCAGCATTGGAATAATCATGTTGTTTCTCATACAGACTACCCATATCAATATAATTCAATTCAGCTAACAACGGATCTATATTTTTTAATATAGTATGTGATCGAGTATACCATTGTAAAGCAGATGAATATTTTCCTCGTTTAAAATGAATTTTTCCAATTGAATTAAATATCATACCTTTTTCGATATGATCTAGCAATGGTGATTGTTGAAGTAAAATTGTAAAATAATATTCAGCTTGATCATATTCTGCTATTCGCATTAGAAATTCACCTAAAGGAAAGAGAGGTGATCTATTTTCGTTTATTAAATTATCTACTCTAAAATATTCCATTAATTGTTTCAGTTGTTGATTTTCTTCTTCAGTCAACAATAAATTAATCGTCCAATACTTATTCATTGGTAACTTTTTCACAGACATTATTCGAAAAACACTACCTATTGAAAATAAAACTTCTTCTTCAAGCGGTTTAGAGCTTAAAGTACTAATATCCAAGTAAGGTTTCGATGCCGTTTCATTTTGATCAACACTTATTTCAAAAAGAACGCATTTTTCTGTAGTATCAGTAATAAATCCTGTAGCTATCTCGATCGTTTTTGTCGTCGACATAAACATAGTTGACGACATTAAATCTCCAATACTTTTTCTCATTTTTTCTAGTTCTTCTTCATGTATATTTTGTCCTCGATAGACAGTGAGATTAGTACTCAATGTCGATAATTTTAAATTGTCCTGCATTTTAATTTCTCTTTCACTTTCCATTTCATTCTCCTTCTTCTCCTTCTTCCCCTTCTTCTCCTTTTCTGCGACATATCCATGCGATAATTGTTCATAGAGTTCAACAATAAAATATCGGAATTTTAAAATAGCACCAATATTTCTCGAACGTAAAACTCTGTTTAATAGTCTATATAAGAATTTATCACATGTATACCAGTAAGCAGCTTTCTCAGACTGATAGTTTTGTTCAAAATCATCAATTTGTTCCAATGTAGTTAGATCATTTTCGTAGTATAAACGACACTCATCAATCATTTCTTTCTTACTTGAGTCCGATCGTGGTAATTTAATTAAAAGATCAAATAATAATTGATACCACATGAACGACGCATTATCTTTACTCAAATGTTCAAGTGAAGTTTGATCTTCATTTAGACAAAATACACTAATTGGCATCGATTCATCCGTGTGAAATTTAACATCTGCAGCTAATTTATTTAATAGAATATCTTTGATATAAAAGAATCCTTTAAGTTTTGGATAAGATGCTGTTAGCCATTGTTCATATTTAGATGGTTCAACACAATAAATGTAAATGGCGATCATTTGCGATAGATCATGTAATCTTTGAATAATAATTTCTTCCAATATTTCAAATATAATTAAAAATATTTTTTCTTTTTGATTCGACTGTATATAATTTACACATTCATCTAAATCATCAAACATTTTTGCTTTATTTTTCAGAAAACTTAATAGAGATTGTTCGTCGGCATTATTAATATTTGCATGTAAACAAACAATTCTATCATGAAAGATGTTGTATTCCTTTAAAATAATTGATGATAATTCTAAATGTGGAATTTCGGCGATGACATCAGCTTCTTGTTTTGATTGCCCTGAACCCATTAGGACCACAGTTTATATTGGTCGCAAATATCTAAGTAACAAAAAATAGAGTAATCTCAGGGGTAAAAAGATTGACAAAAAAACGCGTTTCTTTTTTGTTTTTGACGACCAAAAAACGCGATAAAGGTTTCCAAACCAACGCTTTTTTTTTGTTGTTTAAACGCGTTTTTTTATCTATTCGTTTGAAATTGCGTTTTTCGGAATTTCACAACGCGCTAGAGAACGCATTTTCGATGGATATGAACGACAATGAAAACGTTAATTAAGGCGTTTTGAAACGATAAAATCCGAGTGATAATACAGAGGTCTGAACCATCAACTTTTGTCCCACCATTCTTTCACTTTTTCCATTCGGTCATATCCTCTTCATATTACATTAGCTAACGACAAACTAATGGAAAGCAGTAAAGTGAGTACTTAAAGAAAATTTTGAATTTCGAGAAAAAATCGTTAGAAACGACAACAAAAACGCTGTTTAAACGTACTTTTTGTCGTGTTGTGTACTCCTTTGGCACCCTGTCTTCTTCTGACGCCGAAACATTGCTTTACAATTCTATACTGTTCAAGACAGTTTTGATTGGACAAGACTGTTGCTCAATCAAATCTACCTTTTGCCTATGTTTTCTGCAATACTCATTTCTTCTCTTCTTATCACGGTTACGACAAAGAACATTCTGGACATATACTAGAAGCCATTGATCAATGTGTACTTATTTTGTTCTTGTTTCGTCAAAAAAGTAAAAGAAATGTGAAATTGAGGTAAAAACACGTTTTCTTTTTCTTTGTAGAAATGTTCGCTTCAAAATGCTTTACACGGAAAAATATATGCTATTTCTCTAGTTACACTCATGGAGGTAATTTTGGTTAGAAACTTGTGATTTATCGAGATATTATGCTAAATTAGGGCTGCTACATTACTATTACTTTTTATTACTATTATTCGGTAATAAGTAATAATTATTATTACTTTTATTACTTATTACTTTTCATCTCGAATTGCTTTAATATTTATCATTTTAATACTATTCGGGCTTTAAGTGCTTGGTACTAGTAGTAAAGGATAAAGTTGAAACTTTTATTATATTACTTATTACTTTTATCATTTTCAGATTTATTACTTATTACTAGTAGTAATAAGGAGTAATGTTATTACTTATTACTTAGTAATAAGTAATAAA